CTTACCAAATGAATAGCTGTTACTTAACCATTTATTATCTAGTAATATTAGCACCAACCACGAATATCCATATAGCAATCCTCAAGTACAATAAAAATATAAAGATGAGAGAAGCTTTATCACATGTATAAAGATACTGTACGCTTTCTATACGAAGAATGAGGACACCGAGACTATCACACAGCATGCGAGAGCAATTGGGAGCATGTTCATAGCTTTGCTGATGTATCTACTCTACAAAATCGAAGAGCTATGGCACGATAGGAAACGAGGTGGAGAAGGAGGCATGAACTAATTGTGGAGAGGTGAGCGAGAATGTCGGTTACTAGCTTCTAGCTAATGTTTAGACCACCTGGTCTTAGTGTCTATTGAACTGCTAGTCAAACCGCCATATCATCCACACACCGACAAGAGACATATCTGAAAGATAGATATATATGAGCGCGCGATCGGATAAGAGACATATGTGGAGCTATTTGTCTCGCGTCATCTAACAACTACTGAAAGAAAAAAATGCCTTCCTATCAGCCATTCCCAATCTCTTATCTGCCAAAAGGAGTACTCATGCCACTAGTCTCTTCTTGTCTCCCTGACTTCGTAGCTGAAACTCAGCCTACATTCGACACAAGCAGAACCGAACGATTCCAGACATAAACAAATCAAAGGCACAGCACACTTTACAACACACAAAGACAATAAAAAGCAAAAGAATCAACCTACAACCACTTAACAGATACCACTCCTCTATTAACCCTTGTTAGCAAAGTGGTTCCAGTCTCTCTCTCTACTAATTGATTAAGCCAGATATGCACTCGCACGGAGTGCGAGAAACACAGATGTTAAAGGTAATAGGGAATGGCTTAGTCTAATAACTATATGGAGAGATGAGATGTAGAAACTCAAATCAAAGGAAATCTGAAATAAAATCCTCCAGAAAAGGTAGAATATTGCTAAATTATAATAGAAAGTTGGGAACTTCGAGGAACCTTATGCTCCTAACATTTTCAATTTGTCGTGATATGATAACGGTAGTGTCTACTTATGATACCCGATGTAACTTCTATGCTTAATATAAAAGCATGCACTGAAAATGTTTTCAAGTGGTCATCGAGACCTAAAATCAATTACAAAAAAAGCTACCTATTAATAGGCTTGAATAAGTATTAGATGAACCAAATAATTTAATTAATGAAGTGAGGTTGGCTTTGATATAAGTGCAAGGTAAAGTAATTTCATACAAACCTCTCTTGGGCTTGCCATTTAGGTTTCAGGCAACACATCGTATACAAAACATGTGGCAACTCGGTTGTGCCAGAGGACTGGAATAATGGTAAGCAGGAAAGATATGTTGCAAATTATCTGAGATTAGCCTAAGTAGATTCTTTCGCCCCCTATGTTCATCCTAAATACAGAAAAGGATGTTACCTGGAGACTACTTGCCGCGCATTCGCTGGAAAAGACAGTCTTACAGCTTCCACTAGCGCCAAGGGGTGGGCCAGGTGCGTTCTCACTGGGTCCACTTAATCGCGTAGCTCCTTTGTATCACGAACATCATACGCTCTCTCGTTGTATCTAGAGTGATAATAATGACACTATCACTAAGTTAGAAAATCCAATCACCGTATATCGATAAGACTGCTCGAAAATGGAATTAGCTGGAGATCTAATTACACACCTAATTACACTCGAAGCAAAAGATGATCTTATATTGATATAGGTAGGGATTCCTATGTAGGGAGTGCAAGGCACTTTAAATCTAATATAATGAAAGGTCATAACATTATATACAATGCACTGCAAAAGATGGTGAAATTATCAGTCTCATATAGGGGAGGTATTGATATATTTTAACATATAGTCATGAATGTAAGTACAATTGTTTTCAAAGTGTTCAGACACTATACCAAATAGGTGAGCACTTCTTCTAGGACAAAGACATCTCGCGCGTGCACCTTCAATTGCGTATGGCCACAATTCACATCATTATACAGTCCACCCACTCCGAGAAGAAATGATGCTCTTACACATATCGTGATTAAATATAACAAGAATCCTAGATAGTAGGTAATTGAAAGTATCACACTGCCATAAAAGTTTATGAAGCAAACATGTCCCCAACCAAAATGCACAGTCCAAATGGCACACACCTGACTTAGACTATATAAATTTTCCAAGACCAAAGTAATAACCAAAACTTTTTTTGAAAAGAAAAATCGGCCGCAAACAGAGAGAAGAACACCCAAGACCTATAGCTAATAATCAACTATACGTCAAACTAAATCCATCTAGAAAATTCTATATGCTAAAATTTGCTCAACAAATTATTATACACACTTCTCTAAAACTCTAGAAAATGTTGAAACCAAAGTAGCATTTGGGATTATCTTAGAGATTTACGAGAATTATCGAGTTAACCATATGGTCCTTGCGTAATCTTTCATGTATCATCCATAATGAAATAATTTATGCATAAATTCTAAATCTATTAATATACATTTATACATATCTAGAATTAAGGTATTGAACCCGCAACATGACCGAGAGAGCACTGCCAGTTCTCTCACTGCGCATCTTTATCTAACGCCCTAAATTGACACTATATTAATCATCTGCGAAGCACAAGACTGAAACTACATGAACCTCACAACATTGTTATTTCCATTTCATCCTATGTATGGTCACACAGCAGATGAAGCGCTCTTAAAGTAATATGCTCACATTCAAGTGTGTTTTATATAAGCCACACGTACAGAAAATTTGGACAATCAAGAGAAACAAGACCAGATGTATTCCCATAGTAGCAAGGAATAGAGAACCATACATCCTTTCCTCTGGAAACAGCGCCAAAAAAAGTCTGGCCGAGGTCGGCCAACTACATTTTTAATTGCATCTGTGATAACCGCTGTCAGTAGAACAGAGAATAAGAGGCCTGCATTAGCAAACAAATTTCCCATCATCACTTCAACAATTATGATGTAATTATTGAGCTTATTCAAAAGAACACTTTGTTCATAAAACAGTAAACTATCCAAATGATATGATCACTAGTATGGCATGATGAAGATCATAGACATCCCTCCTATGGATGTACACAAGGAGAAAAATCATCATTGGCAGCGAACTGCATACACCTAAATACAAAAGCAGGGAGAGAAAGAAAGAGAGCTCATGCAGTCGATTTTAAGGATATTATTACACATGGAAATAAATTAGAATGCTGTTATGCTTATGGAAAATTTTAAGAATTTTACTGCGTGAGCAAGGCAAAGGAAATTTACCGGGACAGCCCAAACAGGCACCGTGTTACTCTTTAAGGGGTATTTTAGACCCTCCATCATATCCTTCCCAACAAAGCGATAAAATGGATGAATGATATAGAGGAGAACCTCTATCACCACGAGCAAGAGAAGTATAAGCCAATCAAGCATGTGTGTCCTTGCAACTGTGACACCATGGGACCTTACGTATGTGAACCGAGCTGAACTTCCTCATTCTGCACTGTTTAACATCTATGAATGTCAGAGTACTGTTCAGATTATGTACCAAAGGATCCTCTTAGGCTCCATAAGAAGGAAAACTATGACCACAGCCATTATGGGTTGCAAAATCACCAGTAAACAAGACAAACAAACAAAAAAAATCTCCTAAAAAAATTGAATGCCAATTTAAATAAAATCCTAAGCTAAACACATGACTGGACTAGCTCGATAGCCAACCATTTTGCATTTCAATATTCTAAATTTAGCCAAAGGATTTACAGTTGATACTTTTTTTTCTGTATGGATACTAAAATAGCAGCATCAGCAACACCTTAAGCCTCAAGAAATAACTGAGAACAGAAGGAACTGATGCCTCTAAATGCATCGTTATGAAACTCTCACAGGAAATGGCATTCACATCCATCGCATCCCACTCTCCAAAAAAAGATGATGAAAAGCATGCCAAGAAAAGTGAGAGTTAAATTTGCAACCCAACATCTGAGACAATAACAGACAACACCAATACCTCTTGATCTTCCCTACTATATTCAGTTCAAAATAATAAAAATTTAAAAACTCCATTTAGGGTATATAAATAATACTTAACTACTTTTACAATTGCAAAGACATAGATCAGTGGGCCCACCAAGTACCTTCAAGTCATGCATAGCTTCCAAACAGAAAACAAAGAAGCGGACAAGTGTGAACGCATATGTACAGACATTAACCATTATCCGCGCAACTGATAAGAGTTTTCAGCTCCCCACGTCCCAACCCAAACCCCCTTTCCGATCTACACTTTCCTTTGGTCACCCCATGAAAACCAAATCCAAAGACACAAAGTCCTTATGGAAATGGAAAGGAAACATGAACAAGAAAAAGAACGGCAAGCAATTTCCAGTGTCGGAATTCCTCCGTGATAGCCGCCTGAAAGTGGAGGAGAACGTATTGGGACCTGGAGCCGGTGCTGGGATTGGTTGCGGCATCGGAATTGGGTTTGGTTTGGTTGGGGGAATTGGGTATGGAGGGTGGCCTTGGAACCATTTGAGGCTTGCTTTTGGGGTTGGGGGTGGTTGTGGGGTTGGGTTTGGGTTTGGATTTGGGCAAGGGATTGGTTATGGTTTTAGTTTAGAATCCTTGGAATCCTACATGTCTGAGGACAGTTGAGATTCCAACAGAAAAATTTGTAATTGCCTAGGGAAAGTGGAAATGTTGTTGGGTTATGTTTCAATTATCTTTGAGCGATGAGTAATAATTGGATGAGGCTGTTGTTGTTTCTCAACTTTACTATGCCAGGTGTTTGATATATTGCCAAAATAGCCAGCGTTGCTATTTTTGCCTATAATTTTTAATATTCGTTTATTGCTACCAGGGTTTCATACTGTATTTTGCATCCATCTATTCGACTAAGGGAAAAATAAGCATGCACAATATCTTAGTTAATGAAAATAAAATGCCAATTATCCGAGAATATAACGAATTTCTAGAAATGCTGGTAAACAAAGAAAATATCAAACATAAAAAGAATATCCAAAGTTTATTGGTCTTTAACGACCAAAAGAAGACTTGCATAAAATGGAAGATAAAGAAGGGCTTAAGCCTTAAGGGCCCTTTGTCGGTGACGAATAGCAGACAACTTGTTAGCCTGACTCATTCATCAGGGAGGGAAAGCTTGGCATCACAGGATAATAAGTGCCTGGTGGAATATGATGGATGGTTGGGTCATAGTAGCTCACGTAAGCTGGTTGCATCCACGATGGATCAACATGATGAATCGGCAATGGAACATAAGGAATATTGCTACTGCCAGTACTGCCATCAAACTGAGGATAGCTGATATCATTCTGCATCACCATCATTGGACTTTCCATGAAATTTGGTTTATGGTAGAGCATCTCAAAACTCTGGTCTTGTTGGATAGGAATAGGCTCTTGGTAGATATCAACTTCCTTTCCCCTCCCATTGTTTAAGAATCCTTTTCCTTGACACTCAGCAGCTATCATATTCGGCATAGGTCCTTCTGTCAAGACCTGTTTTGATTTAATTGCATTCATCACAGCAGCCATCTTGGCATCCAATTCATAACACAAATTTTGAAGCTGATTCTCAGAGAAACGATTGATCATAGGAAATTTCTCACCAAAATTTTTCTTCTTACTTGCAAAACTATCACAGTAAGCTTTTTGGCTACCACCTTTAACAGGCTGCTGCTTGAATCTGTTGATGATTTGCGTAGCTTCCTCATCATTACCAGGCCAAATCTGAGCCTTCGGTTGACCTAGTTCAAAGATGATGACCAATATCTTAATATCACAAAGAATTGATAACTCCTTAGCCTTCTTCAACAAATTATTCCTTCTTTTTTCAAAAACCCTCTTCCGAGCCTTCTCATTCTCTATTACTTTCATCTCCATCTTACGTTTGCCCATCTGTTCTGATCATATGATAAATTATAAATCACAAATACGTATATATAAAGTAAAATGATTGTAAAGAAAAAAAATTACATATAAACTCATAATAATATTGAAATGAAATTAAAAGAAAAGAGAGTATAAAATCATTGGAATTAAGAATATGAAAACAGTTAAACTCTTGGTCAGTCTCAAGTCCCAACTATCATATCAACATAAAAAAGTTGATGCAAACAGCGATCTCAAAGTACATCTAGAAGCACAATAAGTCTATACATAGTACATTCATCCAATAAAAAGAAAAACAACAGAAAGCAAGCCCTCAAATTCATCAATCTAGCATGCGTCATGCACATAAATTCTCAAACAACCAATTGATAAAAGAAAAATAACAAAAGAAGAAAACAGAAAAAACCCACTCCCAACAATTATATATTTATAACTTGACTTCTATCAAACGATAAAAAAATTCCCCGTATAAAACCTCTCAAGTTTTAAACAGAGACAAGGGCAAGAAGAGAGAGAGAGGAAAAAGAGAAACCTAGGGGAGAAAAATGTACAAAATTTCAGTAATATAACAGAAAAACCTCCATTACTTCAACTTTGAATGCATTACACATGAAAAAAGAAACTAATCAAAGAAGTAACGCTTTTTACTTATGCATACAAAGAAAGCAAAGGTTTCTATTGATAACTTCGAAGAAGAAAGAAAAACAAGGCAAGATGTATTGCAGGCTTGAGGGAGAATTTAAAAGAAGGAAGTAGTTAATTACCTTGTTTGCCGTAATGGGTAGTAGCAAGCAACTTCTCTGAGGTTCAATATACAAAAGCAAAGATCAGTTGTTACGTAGGTTTTTTATAGATGGGAGAATGGGTTTGCTGCCCTAATTTGAAAGATCAGACGCCTTTCTTTAGTGATCTTTCTCCCTTACTTTTATGGCAAGAAAATCTAAATTTCTGATATCCTTAATTAAGAAAAAAATAAATTTGGTATTTGGATTTAACAGTTTTCAATAAAGGACATTGAAAGACTTCATCATCAAGCTATTGAAATTTGACGTTGGTTTTTATGTTTTGATTTCCTTCTAGTTATTAAACTAAATTCTAAATGCGGAAAATCCTTTTAAAACCCCAAACATTTATCTTTCTTATTACTTCTCACCCTTCTTAATTATATTAATCTTGCTATAATTGCTTCTCTT